CAATGTGATATTTTAATAAAATTGCTGAAGTTGTTATTGATCAAAAAAAAAAAAAAAACACTTCAGAAATAACTAAGAGTGGTACAGACTTTGCTTCTTCCATAGTTAACAACCTTCCTCCTCCAATGTACCTAGAACCCTTTTCCTGGACTCTCACTATGAAGATGAAGAAGGATGACCAGAAATTGATGTGGGGCTTGTGAACCACTTGAACAGGAGTTGGATACTTGGATTATCCAGATTAATATGCATTTTACAGTTGTGAAAATTGATGTGTCACCATATCCAGTATCATGATTTACTACTAAATTGATTGCATGGAACTCATTAAAAAAAGAAAAAAAAAGAGTTCATTTATCTGAGGTTGCTGGTCTTGATTCTAAGTTTTAAAAGGGCCTGTTTAAAAGAGGGTCGTAGCGGGGACTGCGACACTACATTTTTTGCTGATGTGTGGCTTGTTTTTTGTTTTGAAAAAACAAAATCACACATATTGACTAAACACCCTTTCATGTTGACACTGTGTTTTGAAGGTTTCCATTAATAATTTGTGTACAATTCTTACTGTTTTAGATCCCTACAACGCTTAAAGTGGAGAAGTCATGTAATCCATTCCTTCGTACATCAAACATGGAAATCCGCCAAGCATTAAATATCCCAGCTACTGCAAATGATGCTGAAGCATTAAGTGTCATCCGGAGAGCAAAAGATAATTGGTAAGATATACTTGGTATTGTAAACTATATATAAGAGTTGTTGGTTCTTAACCTGAGGAATGATAACTCCTGATATTTCCTGTACAAGAAAAAAAATGTCTCTCTCACTTACCAGACTAAAATATTAGAAGTTTGTTGTGGAAAGGAGAGAGTAAATCTCATAAAGGGTATGGGAATGCTGTATGCATGGTTCAGTTAGTGGATTTGGAGCAATTTTTTTTTTTCCTGGATAACAGAAATGTTCCAGTGGAACTTAATAACACTACCTTAATGACCATCTCAGCTTAATCGTGATGACCAGCATAGTTGCATGTAATTCGTGGATCAAACACGTTTCGTTTCCTCTGAAGCTGTCGATTATCCACGGATTTGCATGAGCGTGACGGGAGATGTTCCCAATGCACGCTGGATGTACATGTGGGGCACCTGTGGAGTGTGCTCTGTGGGCGCCAATGTGAACTCAAGACGCAAACAGGATGGGAGAACTAAGAGCTTGTCGAATTTATACTTACATACATGGTCGGTTATAATGCCAGGAAATTCAAATCGACAAGATACATCAACAACAGTAATTATTTTAGTTGATAACTTCATAACTTTGCTATTAAAAGAAAAACAAGGTGTACAACATGTACTTGGAAATGAAGGAGATGAAATCACTCCCCCTTTCTTTTTAGCTTGCATCTGCGTCCAAAACATTTGTTCTTTCACCACCCCTGGCTTCTAGAGCATCAAACATATAATTTGCACCCATTGAATTAATTTGGGGCAAGAAGATTTGGAGCAATTAATCTCTGAGGTTGGAAATATGCATAACAGTTTGAGGTTGATGTTTAACGTCAAAGGAGGGAAATGGCTACAAAGTTGGCCATGAAAGTGGCTTAGATGTTTGGAGGGAAAAGCGGCGATGAAGATGATTTTGAGTTTTGACTGAAAACTAAGCAACTCCATTACAAATCCAGCTCATCGATCCAGTTTAGTTTTGACTAAAAACAGCAATGTGGGTGGAACAGTGGTGAGGCATTATATGGAGACCAATCAGTTGGTCTCAATGGTCCATAACGCAAAACAACAATCAGTGTTGAGACCAATCCATTGGATTCACACGAGTCAGGTAGAAGCATTTACCACGAGAAGGCGAATCAGAAATCTGGGTTAAATCACCTTAAGAGGATAAGAATGTATAGGGGTAAAAATTCTAGGGTAGATCACTGTAAAAGAAAATGTACAAGGATACAAATTCTAGGGTAGATTTTGAAAATTTGAAAGAAAATGAAGGATAAAAGAGTCACAAGGTATCTTTAAGTTTTTAAAAACTAAGGGTATGTTTAAGCCAATATTAGAAAACTCAGGGTATATTTAAATGATTAAATCTTTTACCCTTTTTTATACAAGGAAACCACATCAAATGAGGAAAGGAACACCTTAGTGTCTGCAAAAAAGAAAAAAATAGTGTCTGTGGCTACAATATAATTAACTCCCAGCCATCTATAGACATGACTTGAAACTCTTTGATGCATGATTTCGAAAACCGGACGGTTGGACCAGGTGACCCAGGAATCAGTCATGAGTCGGGGTCCAGTTTTGAACTCCAAAATCATTGGATGGACTTCAAACCAGATAATTGGACCATTTGGCACAGGAACCGATGGTCATGGTCCAATTTTCAAAACCATGCTCTGATGCGCCCTTCATTTTCCAACCAGTCCGCTACTTGGTTCCCTTTTTTATAAACATCCCGGTATGTGATTGATTTTCCAGAATCTCTAGCAAGATTTTTGCATTCACCGATCATCACCTGATGTTCCATGATGTATTACTTGAACCTTGGAGAGCTTCTATTGTAATGTTGGAGTCACCTTCCACTGTTATCCTGCTTGCTTCCAACAACTCGATCAGTTTATGAGCCTCAAGAGTGACTTGATCAATTTTTGAGAGACCCAAGGTCAATCCGATTTTTTACAGATATGTTTGAATTATATTCATTCACATATCTAGATACCTGACTCAATTAAAGTATTGATAAATTTATATAAAATTAAGGGTAAATTACAGATAGGTACACTGAACTTTCAACTACAACACTTGAGTACCCTGAATTCTCAAAAATAAACACTTAGATCCATCCGTTAGTATTCTGTTAGTTAAACATTATATAATGCTAAAAGTACCATTCTCATGTATTTCTGAGATCATTCTCAAGTAACTGGACATCTCCCCACAATGACATTCTCACATAGATAGCAAATAACATATTCAAATTTTCTGACATCATTCTTTGGTGATGATTTTACTCCATAGAATGATCTCAAAAAATACACGAGAAGGGTATTTTTGACATTATGTAATGTTTAACTGATGGAATACTAATGAATGGACCCAAGTGTCTATTTTTAAAAGTTCAGGGTACTCAAGTGTTACAATTGAAAGTTCAAGGTACCTATCCACCACTACCCTCAAAATACAGGGTACCTATTTGTAATTTACCCTAAAATTAAATATAAAAGAAAAATATACATTATAAATTGAAAATAAGTTTATCTAAATCTCAAATCCAACTTAATTTTAAAGAATTTTAATACTAAAGATGATATTTAATATGCACATATATAATCAAATCAGATCCTAGCAGAGTAGACAAAGCAACGTCCAAATCCAGTTAATAAACTGAGCATATTTTCAGATCTGATTCAATTTCATTATCGCTTTTTTTTTTTCTTTTTGCTATTCACTTTAATTATTGCTAAATGGGTAGCCAAATCCAACTTAAGTGAATTATATTCAAATTTGAATAGGATTAAATCTGATCCATTTGCAGCCCTACCCCATATCAACCAATACATATTGTTGCTTCAAACCTTAATAACATGGAGAAAATTTTTATAAAAAATTTTAACTTTAGTGACTATTGACCTTAACAATCATCCATTAACACCCAAGATACAATAAAAGTCTTTCTCGTTCATAACATAAATGAGCAACATAGAAATATGTAAAAGAATAATATCCGGAAAATAGTCGGTTCCTTTTACCTATGCTAACGGATCTAACAAAATCTAGTTTCACCAAGTTGCAATCTCCTGTGAAAATGAGATGGGGGTAAAACCACCCATAGTTTCATTCTTTTTCTTTCATTCTTTTTCCATCTTTTCTTTTCTCTAGTGGGATAGAAATAAAAAAAAATGAAAAGGAATTTAAAGCAAAAAAAATTGTAGAAAGAGAAAAAATAGAGGAAATTATTTGGTAGTTACTAATTCAAATGACAATAGAGAATAGCAGGCAAAGATAGATAAAATCAAGATTAGATACCAAAAAAAATCTAGTTGACACTTCTGTGATGCACAAGCTTTGTTGAGCAAAATTAAAGCAAAATGGGCCTTGTAACATTCCCAAGTAGGTCTAGCAAGTCTAAGTCCAACTCAACCATAATTTTATTAATATATGGTATAAATTTGTTTAATAGTACTTTATAAGAGAAAAGTGAGAAAAAGAGAAAAATGTAGAAATCAATAGGGGAGAGATTGTAGGGATGTGGGATGTTATGGCTTAAAGGGGAGGTGCAACCATGTAGCAGGATATTGGTTGCAGAGGTATTAACGAGGGGGGAGAGATTTAAGTGGAGACTTTTAAGGAAAAAGGATAATTTAAAAGGGTATTAGAGGTGATTAACTGATTATGGCTTTAGTAGAATGTTTACTATATTTTCTTTTCATACTTTCATTCAACCATTATCACTTGATATCAAAGATGCTGGAAGGGTATGACACTGAATAACTTTGACCAATCAACATCCCCTTCCTCCTAAATTTTAATGAATAAAGAAGTTGATTGGTTACCAAAATTATATTTTAGGTGTCGTGCCTTTTCGGTAATGGGGAAGTTTGTAAGAATAATTTGTTGGGTAGGGTGTGAGTTTCAAGTCATATGTCAGACTTGAAAACAACAGGTTTACAATAAAATAGTTAAAAGGTCATATCTTCTGAAAGTAATGTTAGTTGATTTTGTTAAGAACTTAAATTTCTTGATTTGATTAGATACATATTAGTTGGACTCATATTGGAATCATGTCAAATCATCTTAATGTTAGGTTAGAACTCTTACCAACTCATAATAATGAAGATGAAAAAACTAAGACAAGGCAAAGCATACCAAAAAAGGTATTATTCCAATGACAGAAACATTCTTCCATTATAAGTTCTTTTTTTGAATTCACTAGACATGCTTTGCATGTGATAATTTTAGATGATGATGATGATAGTAATAAGATGTTTATAAAGTTTTTTATATTTCTGTGTATATAAAAATAATTCTTATTTATCATACATAGTTTTGTTTAATATAATTAACATAATTGTTTGTGTCTTTTGTCTTTTTTAATTAAGACATAAAAGGTTGACACATTTGACCCAAAAGGTCTAGTTGTTGACTATCATCAAATAGGAAACAAAACCATTGGTTTTAAATTTTGTATTTTATTTCCATAATCAATAAAAATAAGTGATCTTTATCAAACTTATTTTTTGTTAATATGATTTATATAAAATACCAGAGATGTGCCCAAAGGTTTTCTACAAATTTTATGTATTTCTTTGCAATTTTTGTATTATGATATCAAGGATCGACACATTTGATTTAAAGGATAAACTGTTGGCCTACCACCAATAAGAAAACAATTTCATTTTTGGTCAATTTTAAATTTTGTAAATAATTTCAATCGTCATTAAAAACAATTCCTCTTAATCACACTTATTTTTCTTTGATATGATTAATAAAAATATTAGTGAACTATTTGTGCATTTTATCTTTCTCTTAATTTTTATTATTTAATTGTGACATCATAGGTTGACACATTTGACCCCAAAAGGTTGAACTATTGGCTCACCATCAAGTAGGATAACAATTTCATTTTTCAGTTGAGTTTAAATACTATATTTCATTTCCAACATCAATAAAAACAATTGTTGTGTGCAACACTTATTTGTCTTTATGATTAATATAAATATTAGAGATATACCAATTTTTTATATAGATTTTTTATTTTTTGTAAGTTTTAGATTTATTTCTATTATAAAAAAATTTATTTTTTTAACTATGACATCATGGGTTGATTCATTTGACTGGGATGGTTGAATTGCTTATCCACCACTAGGATAAGAGAATGGTTTAATTTTTAAGTCGGTTTAGAAAAAAACACGGGTTATATACTGCTAAAAGTACTGAATACAAATCCGATTGGTGAAATTTATTGGCAAGTAAAGAAATTGCATAAATATAGAATTCTATGAGAAAAAATGGAATTTAATACCTTACATATAACACTTAACGAAAGAGAACCGAATGAAGTGAAAAGAAGTTTACATTACATTTTCCACCCCCACAAATAAAGAAGAAACCAATTCAAAAATGGGGACATTTTGGTCAACTAAAAGTTCCACTTTTGGATTCCTACTTGTTATAATGTAGATATAGATAAGTGGGTACAAAAGGCTTGTGCATGAAATATAATGACTTTTGCCTTTTGTCAAAATGAAGGTTGTAATTCCTTTAAATTTGGGACAAAGAAAATGTTCAACAGGCATAATAAAAAATTAGGAAGAATGACTAATCAGCCCAGATCAGAATTTTATAGCTCCATAGTAT